GTGACCGGCTGCCCCCGGCCCTCCCTACCTGTTGGCCGCTGGGAGCCCGACTCACCTTGAACTCCCGGGCCGGAAGGTGCCTGCGGTCCCTGGCCGGGATCCCCAGCTCCGGAGCGGAAATATGCGCCTTTGATCTGCCCCGCCATCTCCGAGCCCGGCTCACCCGCTCCTCACATGCAAACCCAGGTTGAGTTGCCTTTCTAGGGAAGCGGGAGAACCCACCAACTTCCTTCTACGAAGGTCACTGGGTGGCCCAGGGCGCTGCCGTGAAAATGGGTGTGCGAGCCCTTCCGTCCTGTTCTCCGTGGGTAGAGCGTCTGCCTCAGGCTTTTCTTTTATTCTGGAAGCTGCCTACCTCCATATTCACACACAAAGACCTAGCATCCGTAGCTTGCCAACTTTTCCTACCTGTTACTTTTGCTCCCTTCACTGCCTCCTGCCTTCCACCCTCCCCGAACCTTGGCGCCTCTTGATAATTTGGCCCGGCACCCTCACCCCACCCAAGGAATTTTGGGTGGGTTTTTTTTTTTTCCCCTCTCCGTTTTCCTTTTATTCTATGCACACAGACACCATCTTCACGTAGATATGCCTGGTTATCCGAAATGGTTACGTTGCCATAACCATGTGGCTATCCACCACGGAGGTACATCTGCTTATTACGTGCTCACCATGGTACCCAGGGCTGACCCTGAAATGCCGGGATATTCTTGGATCCTTTGGGTCTGTGTCAACCAGAACAGAATGAATCCCGAGACCTGACCACGGGTTTCCTTCCAAGCCCCTTGAGAAGGCAGAGCGGTCAGAATCTTGCAGAGCACTGGCATGTGGTGTCTGTCCCAGCCGGGCCCCAGCTGTGCACGCGCTAAATGACTGCTCTGCACTTACGGTCAGAGGGTCCCAGTGGAGGCCTTACACAGCCACTCCCGTCCTGCTGGCCTCAGGGCTCACATGGCCCCACACCCGTGACTCCCGCTCCTGTGGGGCCAGCCTTTCTAGCTGCCATGTTTTCTTCCTTGGCCTCGGAGGGGGTCTTCTGGAACTCACTCCCCAAGAGAGCTGACCCAGCCCCCTCTCCTTGGCTGCCACTGTGTACAGAAAGCTTCCAGATCTGTCACTTATTTTGTGGCATGTCTTCTATGGTCTGGGATCCTAGAGCTTCTATTCTTCCCCTTTCACTCTGTGACCCGTGTAAGGTATACGGATGTGGTACACTGCTGGTGGCCAATGGTTGCACAGACTGTGCACTGCTCAACTCTAGGAGTTGGTGTGCACTTTATAGTCTGTGTGAGAATGACTCCCCCTAGAGTTGTACAGGTCACACCACAGCCTGTATACCAATGAAGGTGTTGGGGTCTGGTAGGAGCTTGAAAAAAATGCCCTTGAGTAACTGAAAAGAAGTCAGGCCAAAGAGAGACTAGAAGTGGGGAGAACACAGCTTGGGGAAGTCTTGGTTGTATACCAGTGTCTCCTGCCCTGCCTGGGCATCTCTCGTTAACCGCACACAGGGAATGTGGTGTCACCAGCCAGTGCCTTCTCTCCTAACACTTCCCCGAACTTGAACCTGATAACTCTGCCCCCAACACTCTCCCTCGGTTGGCTTCCGGCTGACCTCTGGGATGCCCTCCCTGTTGTACCACTCGAGCAAAATGTCCTGATTCCTGAAACTTAATATGTTGATAAGCAAGATCATCTTTCCTCTTGTATTGCAACTCGGGCATAACCTTGCTGTCACTTTCTTTGACCTCCACATTCTCACCGACCCTCAGTTCTGTGGCTTTGCCCACGTCGCGGACTCCAGCTCCGTCCTGTCCCCCCTGCTCATACAGCTACGCTTGTAGCCCAGGTCCTGATGCTTCTCCACACCATTGGCTCGGTTGGCTTTTCCCTCCAGCTTCCCTTCTACGTTCATTATTTTCCTAAAGGATGAGTTTTGGGAGGCCCATCCTTTGCATGTAGGTTCTTTCTGACTTTCTTACAAGGATTTGCTTCCCTTTGTGTTCACCCCCCCTCTGGTCTTCTCTCTGATTCGGACACTTCATCCTAAGGAACCTGTTTGCTATCCTTGACGTGGTCTATCCATGAGCCTTCGGGCTCTATCATTTCCCTTGGCCTTGGAATGCCCCTCCTGCTTCTCTACTCTGGCCTTTGTTTTTCCTTTTCCTCCTAAAACTCAGCTTCCTCCATGAAGCTTCCCTAATGAACTTAACCAGCACATCAGCATCCACGCAGCTTCATGGAGCAAGTTTTCCCTCCTGGTCCCTGTGTCTGACCCATCTTGTTTATCCATTCAATACAGCATTTCTCGAAGGTCCATTAGAGTCCGTAAGTGTCCGGACAGATGCCTCACTGAGTGATCGGGGGGCGGGGTGGGTGGACGGGTACTAAAACAGCTAGCTACAGGACAGAAGGAAATACCTACATAGAAACCAAGTGCTGGTCGGATGCAAGGAAGAGGCTGATTCCTTTGATGTGGGATTGGAGTTGATTTTGCTAAAGAGGTGGTGCTGGAGCTGAGCCTTGAGGACAATAAGAATTTTGAAAGAAAGGATGGAAGAGCATTCCAGGCTCTGGGGAAAGGTATACCATGTGTGGACGAGTGAAGGTGCGTGGCTCTTCAGAGATGGCTGGAAGGAAGGTCCGTGTAACTACAGGGGGAGGAGGGGATATAATGGGAGAGCAAGCTGGAAAGTTGGGGTGGGGTGGATGCTGAGGGCTTTTTGTGCTGTGCTGAGAAGTCTGGACCATGAGGGGTGGGTTTGTTGGCCCTGTGGGTGCTGCCATCTTCCCACCTATTTAGCTCACTGTACACAGTTCTCTGTTCCTGGCTGCAGTCCCCACTCTGATTATACCCCCTGTGGGCAGGGACCATGCTGGTCTTATTCACTATTGTATCCCTGTTACTAATAGGGCGCCTGGCACATAGTAGGTATTTGATATACCATGGCTCTGGATACATGTATATATCCTTTTATCTGTAGGTAACGGGTAGCCATTGAAAGTTCACAGGACATGGCAATCTGATTGAGGAGGGTAAGTCCTCTCTAGTTTGCAGCATGAATTAGAGAAGGGAAGGTATGGAGGTTGTGGAGGGAGGATAATATATTTTTAATTTGTGTCTTTTAAAAAAATATTTGCAAATCCACTGAAGTAGTTTTTAAATGGCAAAAGCATTGCATCTACATTTTAAAATTCACATAACATAGAAGGGCATTAACTAGGCAGGCCAGGTTGCTCTCACAAGTAGACTCAAAGCACAGAACTTCAGACAGTAGAAGTGTCTTTCTTAGCAGGCCCGAGGGGATGTTTCAGATGAAAAGGTTGGGTTGGATCCCTCCTCCACACAGCCATTCTGGCTACCAGGCTGATGGCAGTTCATGGTCTTCAACCCATAGTTTCTTTTTTCTTTCTTTTTTTTAAGAATATTTTTATTGATTTCAGAGAGGAAAGGAGAGGGATAGAGAGATAGAAACATCAATGATGAGAGAGAATCATTGATTGGCTGCCTCCTGCACACCCCCTACTGGGGATTGAGCCCTCAATCCGGGCATGTGCCCTTGGCCGGAATCAACCTGGAACCCTTTAGTCGGCAGGCTGATGCTCTATTCACTGAGCCAAACCAGGTAGGGTAACAGTAGTTTCTAAGGTTCCTTTGGTTGTCATCACCGTCTTTCTATCCCCTTAAAGGGGAAAAGAGCATGGAGGACTCCATGGAGACCTCATGGCCAAGCTTGGAAGTGGCACCCATCATTTCTGCACACATTCTGTTCCATAGAATTCAGTAGCTGCAAGGGAAGCTGGCACATGCAGAGTCGCCTGGCAGCCGTGTGCCAGCTACTATGGAAGACAAGAAGAACAGATTTGGGAGAACAGCGAGCAGTCTCTGTGTCAGTTATAAAAGATATAAGATTAAAAAAAGCGCCCACCCTCCCACTGCCCAGGCATAGCACTCCTGTGTAAGGTATTTGTGTCCGTGTAGTGAATATTCTGCTTGTTCTTTCTCAGAGCTTCTGTACAGGGCTCTGAACCTATATAGGCACAGAGTGAAAATAGCTACTGACCTAGTGCATGCAGACAAGCATCAGGCTCTCACATATTATTTTCTTATTTAATCCTCGCAACAACACTTAGAGGGAGGTACCGTTATTTCCTCCGTATTCCAGGTGAGGAACTGGTGCCCAGAGAAGCGAAGGCACTTGTCCAGAGTCATTCCGGAACTCCATTCTGACTCTGCTAAGGAGAAGTTGGCTTATGGGCCCCGTCACCTGATGCTGTATATTTCTTGAGGTTAGTTTAGGGGAAAAGGGGTGATAGTGGTGTTTGAAAGCAAACGTGTGGTTAAAAATAACAGGGTCTGGGGTGAGCGTAGCCCAGACACAATTCCTGCAACCCCATGGCAGGTCCCCACACCTTCTCCGAGGACAGGGACCGAAATGCAGCTTTCTCCAGAAAGCGCCGAAGCAGGAAGCCTGGCAGGAGGAGCCCCCGTGCATTCATCCCGCCTGGCGGTCTTTGAAGTGCTGTGGCCTTCAGAGATTCCTTGGCACTCATTTCAGCCTTGTTAACAGAATTCCTGTATCTGCCAAGCTGATGAATGCCTGCCCTGGCTGTAATTATTCTTATTAGCCTGCTGAATAGGAACTCCCGGTGTCAGTGCTCATTCCTTACAGGGCAGTCGGGCTGGTCCGCGTGTATATGGCTATTCTGTTGTAGTGACGGAGTGCTGAGCGGATTTTAACCCCGGAGATCGAACGTAGGTTTTCATATCGGCGCCGAGTCTGGCAGTGAAATAAGGTGTGCGCCCGTCTGTCAGTGTGTGACTGCATCTCACTTTATCAAGCGAAGTTGGGGTGGGGGAGCTGTCAGGGCATTTTATGGCTCTGCTGTTTAATTGCATTGGTTTCTTAAAGGCAGGATCGCAGGGCCATTTGACGCTCTGCTTTGGGAAAATAACTTGAACTGGCAAAAATCCTCCGTAATTTATCTTCTGGAAAAGGCCAAGTGCTGCATTTGGCACAGCGGTGGTTTTTTAAGATCTTGGAAGATTTCCCCCACACCAACTGTAGTTTTTTGGGAAGCCACGGGATTAGACCCAGTCGCTGCTGCTGCTGCTGTCCTGGACCGGTGCGTAGACGAGAGATAATGACACTGTGTACACGTCTGCGTTCTCCGAATGCAGATTTCGCCACAATGCTCCCCGAGTGTTGGTGCAAGATTATGGAGTCGCTAAGCAGCCTGATTCAAGTTTAAATACGATGCGCTGGGACCTTAATTGCGTCCTGCCTCGCACCTTTCTAAGCAGCTGGAATGTGAAAGTGTTTGCATCACTCATATAATTCAGGGGATGGAGTACCATCCCCTCTGGCGGGTCTAGGAGGAGTCTGGCTTAGGACCATGCTTAAGGGTTCAGGGCACATTTCGGAATGGGTGCTACCTTTGAATCCTAATAAAATAGAGGCAGTGTGCACAGAGACGGGTTACTTCACAGGTGCTACAAGGGACACCAAGCCAAGAACATCCTGATCCTGGCTCTTCCTCGTTTTTAGTCAGAGCTGGATTGGGCCAGGACTTCCCGGCTTTTGTGCGGTGGTAAGGACCTGGAAGAGTTTCAGGTGGGTTGTATTTGTGTCGCGCTACCAATGCCCTGAGCCCCCAGAGCTGACAGGTCAGAGCTGCTCCTAAACCAGACACTGTGGTTACCCCAAGAGCCATACAGATGTGATCGCTTCCTGTGTGTGCTGTGATGTGATGGAGGTTGGCAGTTACATCTTTTACCTGGCGAATCACAGCCCTTAGCCCCAACCTGGCCTTGAGATATGAGCTGTTTGAGGATGGATGTTGAGAAGCTCGGTGACCTGGAGAGCGGCCATTTATTCACTCCATTAATACTGAGAGTGTTCACTAACCCTGGCCAGGCGTTGTCCCGAGTGCCGGGGATTCTGCCGTGGACAGAGCTGACTCAGATCTGCCCTCCAAGGTGGGGCAGGATGCACCAGACCTGTGGTCGGTGTTGTTGCCAGAATGTGCAGCACCACCTGGATGACGGAGGTGAGGGTCAAGGTCAAGTTCTTGGGAATGCCTGCTGGGGAACAGGAAATGGAAGGAAGAGCTCTGGAAGGAGTGGCCAGGGGATGGCAGAAGAACCAGGAGTGCACTGGGTAGAGGCCAAGCAGAGATGAGTGTGAGTAGACTTGTTAAAGAAGGGTTGGTCAAATGCCGCTATAAAATCAGAGAGAGAAAGGCAAAGAGTAGCCTTGGATTTGGCAACTGAAGAGGAGGGAAGTGAGAGGTTGTAAGCAGATCCCCGGGGGATTCAACTGATTGCTGACGTTTGAAGTGCCCTGGTCTGGATGACTGCTTGACACACAAGAGTATTTGGTGGCCTGGTCTTCCTGGGCGAAGTGTGAGGCCAAGGCCATGCTCATAGTCAGAGCGAGAGGAGTGTGGGTGGGCTCCGTGGGAAGGTGGAGCCATTCAGTTAGCCATGAGGATGGGTCGGCTTAGGTCTGTAGTGGAGGCAGCCAGCCTGGTTCCCTGACTCAATCCCACCAAGTTTGGCAGCCCGGGATCACATGGTGTGGTCTCTCCATGCCATGAGGGTGGGAGGATGAAGGATGCGGGAATCTGTAGGGAGCTGCCTCACGGAGACTCGTCTCCAAGGAGTCCAGGTGGGAGAGGCAGGTGAGTAAGGCTGGAAGGGCTGATACTTGTCAGATGGTTTGAGGGGCCAGAGGGCATTGATGAGGGTGAAAAAGCATATTCAGAGGCACAAGGGAGTGGGTGGGCCAGGAAGGTAGGCGGTGAGGACCAGAAGAAGTAACTTCTGCATCCAGGGTCTTGGGAGAGGAGGCGGTGGTGTGACTTTTTAGAAGCATCAGCCCCAGGTATTGTAGGGAAAAGGTGTGGCTAAGATGAGCGGGGGTTAGGGGACAGGTGTGCTGAGAAGGAACCAACCTCCCTAAGAAATTCCTTCCTACCTTTTACATAGCACTTACGTTACGCCATGCACTGCACTCTCCATATATTAACTCACTTAGTAGGTTTCAAAACCTCACGAGGTACTATTACCCCATTTGATAGATGAGGAAACTGAGTCACAGAGAGGTGAAGGAATCGGCTCAAGGTCACACAGTCAGCGGCAGAGCTGCTGGGATTTAAACCCAGTTGGCGGGCTCCAGATGAGAACCGCAGCACCCTGCTCCACCTCTTCATTAGTCTAGCTATTCAGAGTCAAACATATGTTTGCAAACCTAGAAAGGAATTGATACAATTAGCCACAATGTGAGAACATTTGTTTCCTCGTATTCTGGAACAGGAGGCTTGGATTCTGGCCCTGGATCTTCCACTCACTAGTTTTGTGACCTTGGACGCATTGAAAAATAGCTCTTAGCCTCTGGAACGTCAGGGGCTGGACCAGCAGCCGACCCCGAAGGTCCCCTTCCGTCCCCGGAACTCTTTGAGTCCACGCTGACCCCTGCTGTGGGGCCATATGGGCTGTTGGGTCCAGCCCTGGCTCCTGGCCCATCTTCCCCAGCCTCCCTCCCGTCTGCAGCCTGTGCTCCTTATCTCTCACCTGCCTGGCACCTCTCTGCAACCGGGCAGCGG